TTATTATTATTATTATTATTATTATTATTATTATTATTATTATTATTATTACTACTACTACTACTACTACTACTACTACTATTATTATTTGGAGGAGGAAAGAAGAGGAACATGTGTTTTATTCAATGCTATTTAATCTAACCAGTCATGAGAGAAAAGTCCTTCACTGTCAGCACACTTCTATGTTCACATAATTGTTCCTACTGAATATTGAAGCTCAGTAAAATCCATCATTTTTTGTGAGTTTTCTTAGTTTTAAATTTCTAATAGGACAGTCTTCATTAAGACAAAAACTGTTTGGTTCTTATATTGTCCTTCTAGTTAATAAAAGGTCTTTTGAGGTAAAGAGATAGAGGCTCTGTCTTAGCCTGCCTCTCTTAAGCTGCAGATTCTTATGGATACACTTAAGTTCTATTGAAAATACTAATTCTTTTTAAAGCTTTTTTCTTCACCAGGAAGACCCCCTTTGTGCATGTTTTTAAAAAGACGAAACCTTTTGATTTTTAAGTAGATTTAACTTCATCCCAGAGAATGCTGCTTGCAAGACTTTGGTATGCACAAAATTTCCTTTCAGCTTGTCTAAAATAAACATTTTTGTAGGTGATTTGTAAATATTAAATAGCTCTTAGACATGAACAGGGCACCATAGCATTTATTTTCCCAACCTTGCAGCCCTGTTTGTGTAAGAAAGAAAAAGTTTCCAAAGATTACTGTTTATAGATATGAAAGGCAAGAGGGAAACGAATTGGAAGTTTTCCCCAATCTCACATTGTCTCTCCCACTTTACAGGTAGATGCTGTTTTCAGTGGTCAGGTTGCCAAGTTATAACTATAGTTTTTCTCTCTAGTTCATCTTCAGTAATTATCTTTTTCTTCCCTGAAGCCAACAGAAGCAAAGAAGCATTTATAATTACTTGCAGCAGGTTGATATGTTGGCGTGATTTCAAGCATAAAACTCCAGGTGATTTTTTGGAGGAGCAGTTTGATTTATCCTAGGCTTTGCCTTTGTTTCTGTTAAGAACTGTTTCTATTGGCTAGCCAATCTTTTAATATAGTACGGCAGTCTCTTAGGCTTGCTTTCTATCAGTAAATATTTTAGCATGCTAGCTAATCTTTCCATGGATAAGCAAGACAGCAATGTGACTGTTCTGTCAAGAGCTATAAGCTGTAAGGTTGATTTCTTTCCTCTCTAGTTTGAATTAATCTGTATATGTCAGATGTGTGTCTGCTTTTAAGTTCTAGTTTTTATTAAGTTATTAAACCGGTTCGTGCTGTGACATTTTAGTTGCAGATGAGTATTCACATGACTAACAATTTTTTGATCCAGAATAAAAGACACCCTATATATTAAGGAGTAGTGGTCAGGGAAAAGACAGAAATTTTCTCATTGGTCCCTATTTTTTTTTAATGTCCTAACCTTTCCAAGATTGATTGAATGCTCATATCAGAAGAAGGAACTTGTTAAATTCAAGCATTTTGACATTTTTTACATTATTAATATGGAAATGTTATCAATCCACTCCAGGTAGGAAAGCAAATTCTCATTGATCTCCATAGATGATAACTGCGTGACAATCACAGTATGAATGGTATAGTGGATACGGCCTGGTGAACTTCCTTATATTTAAAAACCACAAGAGAGGCAATTGTAGAACAAGTTAGCCAGAGATGATGTATCTTCCAACTATGCATTTAGAAATCCAAGAAAGGGAAGTTAATGAACTTGGTGCGTGTGGAGAACCTGTGCTAATCAGGTTCTACTCTTGTGTGAGAAAGTTCCACAAATATGAAATACAAATATGTTGGGAAGGTTTTCATACTTATTCAATGTGTGGTTGCTGTTTCTGAGCTTTACTAATACAATAATTGCAAACTTTCATTTTCAGTACTGCTAGCTTGCTTTGACACTATCTCCCATACTAGAACTAGCTCAAGGGTATGAAGGAACTACTATTCCATGTATAGAGATTGGAGAGATTAGCAATTAATTCAAACAGGACCTCTTATAACAGTGCAACATTCTTTATCATATGGTTGCCTGAGGGGCATATATTGTAAATTGTGACATACCTAGATTTTTCTTCCTTGCCAATATGTTCTGATGTCTATCACTTGAAGCAACTGTCTTGTTCAGCCTAATGGTAAGACTGTGCTTGTCCTAAATGTTGGTTTTTGTTCAGTGGAACTAATGATAAATTTAACCAGAACATACAATAGGATTTCTGGTAAAATCAAACCAGGGATACTTTTTCTCCCTTCTCAAAAAGATATGTATCTATGAGTTGGATATCATATAGAAAATGATACTTCAATTAGGCACCAATGCATATGCCTAAGTTCCATTTATTACATGAGAAATTAGGCATTACGACTGAATGCATATACTCCTGAAAGTTAGCCTAACACTGCCTCTTCGATGAGAAAAATTCTATGATTCATTCATTTAAATGTCTATGCAAAACATATGCTAAAACATGTAATACCCTTTTTATTCTGCTTCAGAAAAACATTCACATTATGTTAGTCTTTAACCATCAAAAAGCAAGTCTGAAGTTCAGAAAGTATTCCATTATTGACTAATAAGGGAATTGAAGGAAGTATAGTACATACACAGTGCTAAGGTGTTTGGGATCCCTTGTTGGGTATGTTTGTATGTATTTGGATGCTGTTGGTTAGATTCACCATCTTGTTTTCTGCCTTATCTATTTTATGTTGTATTGTTATTCTGTCTTATTTGCACTGGGATTTGTCTGGGTTGGCTGGTTCCTAAATAAATAAATTAAACTATTGGATATTTTGCTCATGGAAAATGATTTTCATTTGGTTAGCATCTATTTTCTCTTATTATAAATACTCTAATCATGTCTCCACACTGTGATGATACAATAATATAGATGTCAGGCCCTGTATTTGCACCTTTGTATTTGCTTGCTTCCACTAATTTTAGTGGAACTAATACATGAATACAAGCACATTTGTAATGTGCTTAATCCTTACTTCTTTTTCTATTAGTGAGTTAGTGAAAGAGACACTTGGAGACATTTTTATTTTCATTGTTTCCCATAAAGCAATGTAAATGAAAACCTCACAATATATTTGCACCATAGCAATACCTAGTGATTTGTGTTGTAGGTCATGTAAAGAATACTTATAGTCTATACCAGTGTCAAATTCATGTCATGGAGGTGTCACGTGATGTATTGGGACTTTATTCCCCTTCGCTAAATCGGGCATGGGCATGGCCAGTGCGTGATGCACCCGGGCCTTGGGCTGTGATTTTGACAGCCCTGTTCTCCATCACGCTGCTCTAGAGTCCAGCATTGGTTATAACTCCGCCCACTTATGACGTGAGCTGAGTCTGCCACTATAAAAGGTTCGCCTCTGCTGAGAGCCCCAGCTTTTTGACTCAGCTCTTGGACATATGAGCTACTGTCTCTGGAATCTGAGTTAATTAGCATTCCTCAAAACAAAAGCATTGAAAAAAAGAAAAAAGAATCATCAAGATCAAGAGAAGCTCTCAGGGCTCTGGTAGAGCTTTGCTCATGAGGAGAGTGGGGATCCGCTCTCCTCCAGTTGCAGCTGCCTCAGCAAGGCACTGACACGCAGACAGTAAGTGCGATCGGCCAAAACGCCACAGAACCTCCCTCAGACTTGCTAGAGACTAATTAACATCACAACAGCCTCCTACGCAGCTTTTCCCTGGGCCGTACGGCTTGTAAAAACCTCCCGAGGCTGCACAAGTCTTCCAGAAGATTTATTATCCCATAAACTATCAAAGTTTTACAATAGCTGCCCTCGTGGTCTCTGCAGCGATTAGGCCCGATCCCAACCAACCTCCCTTCTACTGC